ATTTGTTGGTAATATTTTAGATTACGAGCAGTCTGTTTTTGTTCCTGAAATCCTCTGCGCGATTGGGAAAGTTAAAATTCGCCGCTCGATCGTTCGTCTTTTACTTCGCAGTCGTTTAGTTTGTCTTGTTCGTTGCACGCTAGGCAAAGTGACTGCTCGCAGTCTAGTTAATGTTATGTTCTACAGGTCAGCAAATCACCCACAAAGTATAAATCGTTCGCGATTTACGTCACGGTTTTTCTCTCGAGTTTGATATTTATTCCCTCCAGTTTCCTTTTCGTCATTCAATTCCTTTTTTGTAAAATATAAATTAATTAACGTGATTTGCTCCAAGGAGAATACTTAGTAAGAGTGTTCTCGAGAGCACACCTCCCTTCAAGGAATCCCCGACAACTGGCACCTAGTCTTAACCCCTCCAGTTTAGGTTCGGTCCACACTACGCCGGTGAAATTTGAGAAGGGCGTTTTCACTCTGAAATTGCATCAAATGTTTCCTCACCACACTACGCTGACGAAATTTGAACACGCAACAATCACCGGTCATTTTGGATTTGTGTTTGAGGGAGACTCGGGCAGGGACATCACGTGATTATCGTAACGTCATCGTTTTCGAGAAATTCCGTTTTCAAAACGTTTTCGTCCATACTAAAACGCAAAGCCGGCGTTTTCAAATTCCTCCGGTTCGAAGAACGTTTTCGAAAAGTTCCGTTTTCGTGACGGATTAGCGTGGACGATTAGGCGTAACCGTAGAAATAAAGATGTGTTTTCAAATTTTCCCTGCCTAGTGTGGACGGGGTCTTTGATTATATAAAACGCAAAGATTATCTTTTAGAGAACGCGATGGCAAAAGCAAGTGTTTGTGCCTTATTACTGAGGTTTACTGCGATGGAGCTAGTTTCAGACCACACGTGAACTTGAACTTGAAATCGCCCTTCATATTTCAGATCAATTTAGCTTGAATTGTTTTCAGTGTCATTTTTTCATGCTTTTCTTATGAATAATCTTGCATACTGTTCTGAAAACAATTCCGTATGCATTCTTACGGGTTTAAAAGGACAACATAAAGACGTTTTGTATAGGATAGTTGCAATTCTGTGCAATAAGCGTGCACGTAAGCATTTTTGAGTATTGTTAATAGAGAGGTTAACCATGACGTTAACGGCAGACGGCAAACGGCAAAGATAACGTCTGATTTTGAGTTCTTTTCTTCTAATCCGTACATAACGCACACAAAAATGGAATAACGTCTCTTACTATTCATTGTAAATACAAATAATTTCACTCTACTGTACACACAGCTGAAGAGAGACGACAAAGGTTTCATTTCTGCCGTTTGCCGTTTGCCGTTTGCCGTAAACGTCATGCTTAACCTCTCTAATAAGACTCGTTACGTTGAGTTCCTTTGTTATAATATAAGTGCTGTTGCTTGTTAACTCATGGCGTATCTCAGCAGTTGAAATTAGGCACTGAAGTCATCTTCAATGCCTCAGAACCGAACAGGCTCAATTTGCGCTCCTGAATTGTTGCTAAATTCTACACCACTGGCCACATTTACACACATGCATTCTAAAACTAACGAAGTCTCGAATGGAATGGACTCAAGCCGGTCGACCCCGCCAACAAAGTTAGAAGTCAAATCATCGATGGCTTCAGCGAGTCTCTCTGGTAGTACGCTTGGTGTGTTGCTGCCAGTTTGTCTTCTTGCAGTTTTTCTGTCGTGTGTTGTGTGCGTTTATCACTGGCAGAGTCTTAGAGAACGGAGATTGGACATGGAAGATGAACGAAAGCGGAGAAAAATTATTGATGATTTTGACGGTGGTTGTGCTTTGAAGACTTACAAGCAAACTAAGGTGAGAAAGCGTTTGATATCTATCCCACATCTTCACTGAATTTAATATTCCGCGGGTGAGCTATATGTCATTCACATGGATCGTGGTCCTTCCTTTTAGAGGTTAAAATTGATGTTCTAGTATCGTGTAGCGTGCTTCATTTCAATTTGTCCAAGTTTTGAATCTAATATCCTCGTAGGTTGCAAATTCAAAAAGTAGCAAATTTTCTGAACAAAATTGAACTAATTAAAAAAAAACCGAAATTAAGTAGCGTGATTAGATTTTCCTATCACAATTTTCAACAAGCATCCGCCTCACTTTTACCTTGAAATTTTTACCGATTGTTCTTCAGCTGACCGAGGTTTCTCATTTACTCGGTATATATCCTTAATTGTGTATTTTGTCAGATTTGATACGCTTGTAGTCCTGAAAAGTTGAGGGGGAGGCTAACCAAGTTTTATACGGCGGGGGAGGCTCCGTCACGAGCTCGAAATCCTTACCTTTTATATTATGTAATTTTTAATAGAAGAGGTAGCCCATTCTTATACCCAGTTTTGTAGAAATACGACCCATGTACATGCCTACAGTAGGTAATAAAGTATATCCTTTTTCCACATAAACCATTTGTATACCTCTAGCCTGAAATTAGACAGGGTTATCCAGGGGGTCTGTTCAGCTACTGAGGGAGTGGCCTTTCGGGTGAAGGTCGGGCGCTTTTTTAAAAGTGAAGCAGTCGATTTTTTCTTTTCACTTTTGGTACGTCGATCGCCTAAACAACTAATGAAAAAAGTTCTTGTTATCGTCATCTAGCGTGATCAAAATGTTATGATATTTGGAGGAGAAATTTGATGTTCATCGTCTAGGTAATCACAAACAGGGTCAATCAATTAATCGTGATATTATCAAGCTAACGTCAATTTTTCTGCTTTTCTATTGATCGTAGACGTCTTTTCCTTTCAGAACAAGGTACGAATGTATCCATGGAAAACAGTGAGAATAGAAGACCTACCTGATATTAACAACAATGGTGAATTTAACATCCCGTTCTCTCCGGGAGTGAACAGAGGAACAGACAGTTGCTATGGTACCATTTTCCCTCCCTCCTCCGCTGTGGAACAACTTTCAGCGCGTTATGAGAGGCCCAACTTGAGAAGGATCCCCATTCACAGTAAAGTTAGTGATTTTACAGGGGAGCTATCAGGTAGCCTAACCGTGATGGACTGGGCGAGATTCATCTTTTACTTCCTCGATTTCTCCTCTCCCCTGTTTTTGACTGGCTTGAGTCGGCAGATGGTTGTGTTTGAACGGCTGGGAACTGATTTATCGATACCTGATCTCGGCAAATATATACAACACTGAATTTGGCAGTACGACCCAGTTCCATTGCTATTACTGCAGAAGTTAAATGTGTGTTAGCCTAAAAGGGAATGGGACGAGACATTTGCGCGGCACGCCTGATTCAATTCCGGTCCCTACCCGGCCATACCACCCTTTTGTGTTCCCGATCGAGGGCTAAAAACTCATGTAAGTGACCCTAGCTAAGAGGAAAGACTGATTGCCAGCAGTTTAACAATGGAAAATTTTGTAATATAAACGAAATGCTTCTTATTTTGTTTTTGTTTTTCACTTTTATTTGAGGTCCCCACAATCGCCCTGAATTGTATTTTAAGTTCGACTGGGGTTCACTAGTTGAAGAATTGGCTCTTAGGGTCTTGGGCACCTACTTTTCTTAATA